ATCAAATAAACTAAGAAATATATGACATCTGTTTGGTCTGCGAAACCGTTTTATTTGCCGACAAGTTCCCCTATTTAATACAAAGAATTAAATAGAATTTATTTTAGGCTGGGTTCGGAAAAGCTTCCTATAAGGGCAAACCCCCATAGTTAATTACATCTTAAATGACCGAAGTCACCTAAGAAAACTCTCGATAAAAACTAGAGAAATACTATCTTCGAAGAAGTCAAAATGATAGGACTTTTCAACGAAATCGGACAAGAGGTGTGAAACGGGATAGGCTCGAACCTGGAACGATGTTGAGGAATCAAAATGAAAAGAAACTAGGGGAGGCCACGACGATTTGGAGGCGAACCTCGGTTACTTCCCAGTCTATCCTATGGTTTGGTTTCAATTTTAAGAAGAAATTATTCAAGTAATTCATCTTGGCCAATTTTATTTAATTATGACTTATATTTGTGTGACAAGGTTACGCAAATCGCCTGGAAGATATGAGGATTTACGTCATATCAGACGACAACCTCGGAACCTAGAACGAGTTAGAGCTTAAATCTTACAGCAGAGCTATACGAATGCCTAAGGAAAAATTGGAGGATTTATGTTGCGCTAGAAAAACAACCTCAAAATCCTATGGATGTGGTTTTATTTTTTCCTATGGATGTTGTTTAATTTTTAGGAAAGTAATGATTTTGCTGGGGAAGACAGGTTTTGCTGTTGAAGATGGTTGTGCTGCCCACCACGCTAGCTCCAAGCTCACCGACGTGACGAACCGACGTGACGAGTTTAAGTGACGAGTTTAAGTTTTCTAGGGTGTCCAGTTACGATGTTAGATCGAACAACCCTATGGTGGAAGTCTTCTAAACATCCTATATAAAAGAAGACCTGGTTAAAGACGTCTAACTTCAAACAGAACAACAGTAGGATGAATGTAGAATAGTAGCAGGAAAAAACATGAGTGGTATAACATGCCGTACAGAAAGAACAGTAGCAGGTAGAAACAGGACAAGTATAACATGCTGTAAAGTACAGTAGCAGGTAGAAACAGGAAAATTAAGTGTTGTAAAATGTAAAGAAAACATGTACGCCTGTAAGATCCACTGTTCCTTAAGTATAGCAAGTATAAATGCATCGCAAAAAGCGAAGTCTGAAAGAAATGTCGTCCAAGAAATCCGAAAAAAAATGTAACAATGACTCGTGGCAGAAAACTCGAGAAAAGCGACTCAAGTAAAAGAGAAGAAAAAGAATCCTCAAAAATCTTAGAGAAATCCCGAAAGAAAAGAAAAGTAACACGAGTGCCCTGTCCCAAAGCTTCGATAAAACAAAACAACAAAAAAACAGGTTCGGGTGAGGAAGACCGCAAGCACTCGTATGGGGCTAGGCTCACCTATGTATTTATACTCGAGGGTCCACGAAGGCTACTCGGTCACCCGAATGTATAGAACACGTCACTCGTCTAGAAGGGTGTCTTGAACCTCACTTAGGGGGCTATTTCCCAGCCTAAATAGGTATTCGTCAGGTGGACAACGTATTTTAAAAAAACATATTTTAAAATTTATATTTTTGACATACACATAAATCTTGAAAAAGATTATCATGTCTGAAAATGGTTTATCAAAACTTATCTTTTTTTAGAAATCTTTGTTGTCCACGAGCAATTACGCTATCAGGCATAGGACTGCCAACAACCTGAGGTTCGAGCCGACTACCGTTAGACTTATGTCGGTGAAGAATACAGATATCCTATTTCTCATCAAATACCTGGATCTTGATGTTATAGGATAGGGCATCTTTCTGCTCTATCTTCGGTGTGCTTTTATCATCACCACTGTACGCCCCAAAACGACTACTTGCGACCTTGCTTGATGAGGAGACACCGATCCATCTAAAACACCGAAAAGGAGAATAGATCAGTCCTCAAAGCTCGTATCGAAAAGACCTGGAAAAGTAGTTACCAAGGTCTTTCCTAACAAACATAAAGGGCAAGCTCGCGCTAATTTTCCCAAACCCCAAAGACATAGGATTAATCAAGTCCACAGAATGCTTTTCCAAAATGAGGTTTAAAATCTCCCAAACTTCAAAAGAAAGTGACCTCGGGGAAACCACCATCGATATTTCCAAACTCATACCAAAATCAAAATTCTCCAACTTTCAAATTAATGGATAGCCTCATACATTAAATAAGATTAAATAACCGCAAAACCTTCCCATAAAGCCACATAAACGCTCACGGCCAGGGTCAGAAGAGAAGAGGAAGCAGCCACCAAGGCTCTCAGCCAAGGCAAGGAACGGGGACAAAAGAGGTTCACGGCTAAAGCAAGGGACAGTTGCCAAGACCCATATCCAAAGGCAGCCCAAGAGATAACAAGTAAGGCTTACGGTTAAGGCAACAAAGGGCCCAGAAAAGAACTGTTGAAGCTCACGGTTTGAGGCAGCAAAGAGCAGCTGCTAAAGCCCACGACCAGAGGCAACCCAAAGGCACAAGTAAGGCCCACGGCTACAACAATCAAAAAAACCATCAATAGCTACTATGTCTTCTTGGCAAACATTTAGGAAAGTAATGGTTTTGCTGGGGAAGACAGGTTTTGCTGTTGAAGATGGTTGTGCTGCCCACCACGCTAGCTCCAAGCTCACCGACGTGACGAGTTTAAGTTTTCTAGGGTGTCCAGTTACGATGTTAGATCGAACAACCCTATGGTGGAAGTCTTCTAAACATCCTATATAAAAGAAGTCAT